TCTCTCTCTCTCTCTCTCTCTCTCTCTCTCTCTCTCTCTCTCTCTCTCTCTCTCTCTCTCTCTCTCTCTTTCTCTCTCTCTCTCTCTCTCTTCTTTTCGCCCCCCCTCTCGGCGCACCCCTCTTATCTTTTTTCTTTCATAAAACTAAGCTATGTTCTTGTGTCAATTTCACCTCCCACCGCCAATCCCCGCTCAAAAGCCCGGTTGAGACCGGAAGGAGGTTCGTGAATGATATTGTCGTCAATGACGCTGCCGGCCGTGACTCAAGATTAGTTTAGAGCCTCGTTGGCCTATTATGCGAATCCCTGTAACGGTTATGTTTTTGTTTTTTGGCGGACAGCCGGGGGTTAGATTGCATGAGCATCTAATAGCAAGTGGATCAGCTACTTCGGGGTTGGCGGACAGCCGGGGGTTAGTTTGCATTAGAAAGTGGATTAGGGGCTTCCGGGCTTATGTGGCCGAGCAACCGCGGAATCAACCTTAATGTGAGGCAGAGCGGCCGTAGGATCAACGTTCGTTCGGCAAGTACAAATATTAAACGACGGAGCCATGTCGACCTAAACCGTGTGACACAGTTATTGTAAATTAAAAATTTAGAAGAGATGCAATAAAAAAAGAAACAAATGCTTGTCAAAGCGTTTGTTCACATTGGGAAAAGTCGTAAAACTGTTAAAAAAAAAAAAAGAAAAAAAGTCATAAAACGTCCCCGCAGCTAAAGCTTTGTATCCGTTTCGCCCCAAACGCCGAAGACGGTGCCGCAGGCCCCAAGGTCACTTTCCGAGTCATTTTTGCACCCTGCTAAACACTTTCCCTCCATTTTTACACAGCAGTCGTTTCCTGCCCAGCCAGGGTGCAAAAATGACACCAAAATTGATTTTGGGACCTGGGGCACTTTTTTTCTCGTTTGGGGGGAAGGTCTTATGACTCTCCAGGCAGGGAAAAGTCATTAAACCTCCCCACAGCGGAAAGCTTGTATCGGATACCCCCAAAACGGCGAAGAAGGTGCTGCTGGCCCCGAAGTCACTTCGGGGGCGAACGGATACAAAGGTTTCGTCGCGCGCAGTAGCTGAGGTAGGAGATTGGGACCTCACTATGGGCCTCGCTGCACTACTCTTGAATCTTGAAAATTTGAGAGTTCATCCCCGCTGCACTAACTCTTTACTCTTGATATCGCGTCCTGGATTTCTATTCAAGAGCTGTTAGGGCCTCGCTGCACTACTCTTGAATCTTGAAAAATCAAGAGTTCATCACCGCTGCACTAACTCTTGATGCCACGTCCTTGATTTCTATTGAAGAGCTGTCAGATTCACTCTCGAAAACATCGAGAGTGGAGAGTGAGTCATAGCTGCACTGACTGTGGAAAACTGTGCTTGGTCCGGTGCTTCAAGAGGTGTCAGAAATGGCCCATGGGACGAGCTCTTGAAGTTTCCACAGTCCCCCCCTGCAGGAGCTGTTTTTTCAATCGAGGCCGACGTGTCACTTCATGCGGTTTGCAAATTCGAGAGTTCGCCTCGGGTCTCGGTGGACAAATCATCGCTGCCCTGTTGTGTAGTGCCTGTCGGACAGTAGAGAATGCTCACGAGAGTAGAGAGTCCGGAGTAAGTGCAGCGACGACAGCACTCGACGCCAATCCAGGAGTCTGACAGCGCAAGACGAACTCTTGAAAATTTTCATGTGTCTAGCAGTGAGGCCCTGAGTAATAGCTGCACTAACAGTGGAAAACTGCTCGAAGTTTCCAGAGTTCCTGCCTGCAAAGTTTCCACAGTTCCTGCCTGCAGGAGATTTTTTTTCAAACGAGGCCGACGGGTCCCTTCATGCGGTTTGCAAATTCGAGAGTTGGCCTCAGGTCTCTTTGGACAAATAGTCGCTGCCCTGCAGTGTAGTGTCTGTCCAACAGTAGAGAATGCTCACGAGAGTAGAGAGTCCAGAGTAAGTGCAGGGACGACAGCACATGATGCCAATCCAGGAGTCTGACAGCGCTAGGCGAACTCTTGAAAATTTTCATGTGTCTAGCGTAGTGCAGCCAGGCCGTATGCCGTGTTATGAACCTGAACAGTTTCCAGGTTGTGTGCATTCACCTCCGATGCTGAGAAAACTAGTGCTGTCTCACAGCTGTCAGAGTCAAACGGATGACGCGGAATTCTTTGGACACTATCTGATGCCACGGGTGCTGTCAGATTGTCCTCCCACGAGGAGTTAATGATGGCTCAATGCAAAAGGGTATGGTAGAGGCATATTATTCGGGGAATCCGATTCTTTTCCTTTTTTTCCCCTTTTTTTTTCTTGCTCCTTTTTTCTCTTCTTTTTTCCCTTTCTTCTTCCTTATTTTTCGTTTGGTGAAATTTTTGAAATGCCCCCGTAGTTTGCATTTATTTGTGGCCTGCCCCCTTGAAGGCCGACTTACCCTGTGGTGCCCCTCGGGCCTCTGAAATTTTCCGCAGGCCCCTGTCAGCATGGGGCGTAACTTTCCGATATGCCCTTACTGGACCGCTGGTGGTGTTTCGTCGGTCTGTCCTTGAAATGCCCTCACGAGGGGCACCCATCTTTCTGTGATGCCCTTGCAGCAGTGGCAGCAGGAATTCGAATTCAAAGTGGTAGACATTCCATGCGCCACCACGGAAAACGGTCTGTGTATGTGTGTGTGTTTGTTGTGTGTGTGTCTGTGTGTGTGTGTGTGTGTCTGTGTGTGCGTGTGTGTGGGCGCGTGTGTGTATATGTGTGTTGTGTGTGTGTGTGTGTGTGTGTGTGTGTGTGTGTGTGTGTGTGTGTGTGCTCATCGCCAAATTTCTGATATGCCCCGGTAGTATCTCTCCCGGGGCCACGGGAAAGACTGCAAGTGTCAACAACGGCCACAGGGGCTCGCTGGAAAGATCGACTGTTCCAATAAGGGCATATGGGAAACTTTTGTGCTGGTTCTCAACGGCCATCCGGTAGGGGCATACTGAAAATTTGGTACTGGTACCGGTAGGGGCATATGAAACATTTTTCAGGCCCAAACCATGCCAGGGGTTTTCTGGAAACATCATTCGTCAAGGTAAGTCGGCCGTCAGAGGGGCACCACAAATAAAGGCAAACTTCAGGGGCATTTCGAAAATTTTGCTTTTTCGTTTTACAAAAGCAAGTCCGAAATCCGGTGCCAATACACCAACGAATTCCACAGCTCAGCCGTGATCTCGGTGGTCGCCCATGTCATAGAAAACTCATCTTTGAGCATAGTGACGCAGGTAAAGTAGATCCATGAAAGCTCAAGGGCGTAAACAATGTGAAGTGGAGTGTAAGCAATGTGCCAAATGAGAAAGAAATTTTCACCTGAACATGGGAAGATACACCGCCTGTATTTTTTGTATTTTTATTTTTAATCATTTATAACATGATCTCCATGGACCATTCCTCTGCCCCCTGGGTGTAAGAACCCCAGGGGATAGAGGTCGGGTTTTCCGATGGCTCCAATCGATTCGCGGGGAGTTGCACCTGCTGGAAATGGGGTCCAGCGTCCCTTACACTCATTTGAAAATAAATAAGGAGTCAGATGATCTTCAGCACCTCATTTGTCCTTCCCTCGTAGGGCTAGTAACCCTGGCTGGATCTCTTCACCCATTGGCACCAAACTTGAGTGAAACCTAGCCTTTATTCAGCAGGAGATTGTCTAGCCTATCCAGAACGTTCTACCCCAAGCTCAGGTGAATGCCGTCATTGTCCTGCTCATACAATTTATGGAGTCTTAGGAATCAAAGTATGGATTTTTAGAGAAAAAACAATTTCATAAATTATTTATATTTTTTTCGTACTATCTGAAGCCATGAATTGCTTATGGTTGGGGGTGAAAAGGATTCTGGACGGCTACCCTTCCCCTGTAGAAATCTAACAGGGGGATCTTTCCCTGTGTTCACGGTGGTCTAGGGCCCATCAGCCATGGCTCCAAGATGATACCTGCTGTCGTAGCTTTCGAAAATATAGCCGTCTGACCCCAAGTGTGGAAGAAGTGTTCTTTAGCTGCTTTCTTCAAATGAGCTCTGCGTGCTCTCCTCCAGTCTGACCAGACGAGGGATCATCAAACTCCCTCCAAAATCATGTTCATTGTGGCAATGTGAGTAAATCTTGGACCGGAATAATCTATCTATCGTTCCTGAGTTTCCAGATAACCTGCATAATGGCTGCCCTGCAGGCTGCAGGTGTGGGCTACATAGGACCATCCCTTGCCCACCTTCTCGGCATTAGGAAGAATCCCATCTACCACAAAGTCTTCATCCCACTTTACTTGATCTTCCACATTCCTTTGCCAGAGTTTGGCCCACCAAACCCAGGTTCGCTTAGATTCAATGCAGCCCCA